ATACTTATCCAAAAATATTACATCATTTGATAAGCTTTTCCAAAAACTGGAGGCCTTCTAGCTGATTAGGCTAGTAAGGCTAAAACGTAGAACCTATAATTTAAATGTTTGCCTCATTTACATCGAGAGACCTCTTAACACATGAGGGTATACAGTGAATGGAGAGAATCAGAAAAATGTACTCGCTCTTTTGGAATTTATTTATTTTTCATGGCAATTACATTTTCATGCCCAAATCTTTGTCAGGATCATGACATCCTAACCTGCAGAATATAGGTCAGAAGAGCGAGATATAACGTATCTGCAGTTATGTAGAAACCGTCAGTAAATGCCAACATAGCCAAGTCTAAAAACAACAACAACAAAAAATTCAAAGTCAGGAATGAATATAGTAAATATAACAAGTGACAGGTCAGAACAGGAAACTACAAAACAAAATAATCACACACAAAAACAAAGACACTCTTCACTAAACAAGAACCATAACCGGCACCAATCAGCTTAAGAGCTCGGTTTAAAAAGGCTATACCCAGAAAAAAGGAATGTCATGTGCACAACTTTGATACAAAGTTACACAAGGCATTAGAATGATGCCAAACAGAAGCCGTATTAAATGGAGCAATGCAAGACCAGGCAAAATTTAGGGGTCAACAATGAAACTATTCATTGTAAAGGATGCATCAATGAGGTGGACAATCTTGTCAGTTTAGTATATTGTGAATATTAGCCATTTTGGATCTGAAGGCTTTTTTTTTCATTGATAACCTTTTATCACTACATTTCTGAATAACTTCTTGTGAATTAACTTTTTTCAAAGTATGGAATGTGTGTTAAAAAGTTTAACAGGTGAACAAAGGCCCCAGGTCAGGTCTTTTATTTGTGTTGTGTCTCTTGAAAATATTCAAAGACCTTCAACATTCCTTTCCTTATCTCAAGTTTCCTATATAATGCATTAATATTTACATTGCAATAAGGGTTGAAAAATATTACAATTCCATAGAGTTCAACTGTTACTGCCAATATTTGAATCTTCTGCTAATCCAAGGAAAAGCAAAATCAAGTGGAAGTGGTTTCTGATTGTTCTGAAAGAAATGAGAAATCAAACATCCATCTACAGATTAGGACACGTCTAAGGTTGTTCAAATAATGCTGCTCCCACCTATCTATCCTCCCTTATACACAAGTATGTCCCGTCTAGGTCCTTACGACCTGCTGAAGACTTACATCTATCTTCTGTCCGTACTCCCACCTCTGCTCGCCTTCAAGATTTCTCGAGGGCTGCACCGTTCCTGTGGAACTCCCTTCCCTCCTCCGTTAGATGCTCACCCAGTCTCCACTCCTTCAAAAAAATCGTTACAAACCCACTTCTTCATAAAAGCGTATCAATTAAACTGTTATTAGCTCCGGACTGATTCCTCTTCTGCAACTGTCACTAGTCTAACACTATCCTTACCTTTTTGTGTCATTTTACCCCACTCCCTCTAGCATGTAAGCTCATTGAGCAGGGCCCTCAACCCCTCTGTTCCTGTGTGTCCAACTTGTCTGGTTACAACTACATGTCTGTTCATCCACCCACTGTAAAGCGCTGCGGAATTTGATGGCGCTATATAAATATCATAATAATAATAAATAAACTCAATATCTAATCAGTACTTGGCTGCAGCATGTGCAGCTTTTTAATATACACCATATCGACAAAAGTATTGGAACACCTCTTATTGAATTTAGGTGTTTCAATCGGACCTATTGCCACAGATGTATTAAAGCACCTTACCCATGTAGTCTGCATCTTTTTAAAGTTTGGGTTTTGCTGTACTGACCTTTATAAAAAGGTTAATTTTATCCGACAAGAAATAGAGTAACTCCATGTCTCAAAAGTGTAACTCAGTATGTCAAACTCGCGGCCCATGGGCATGCAGCCAACAATGAATATCTTTGTGGCCCAGTGAGCCGCGCGTTTGACATGCCTACTAAGGTAGAGTAGGCACCTGCTCTGCCCACAATGGATTTCATATATAGGAGGGGAGGTGAGGACTGGGGTTTAGTAAAGGGGATGCAGTTTTTTTTTTTATACTGTACTTCTCAAAATAAACCAATGTTTCTATGAAAATTTAAGTTTTATTTTGCAGCCCACATAAACCTTGTTTATTTGGCCATCATAGCCTTGGAATTTGACATGCTTGGTGTAGCTCAATAGACCAGGGGTAGTCATCCTGGTACCTACCGCCCACTAGTGGGTGGTTTGGGATTTCAGGTGGGTGGTGGTGGGTTCTGCAGAAAACGCCCAGTGGGCCTCAATGGCCATGGGCAGAGCCAGATTAAGAGCCCAATGGGCCTAGTGCTGACAATTATGATGGGGCTTAAGTACAGAATTGTCACAGCCTCTGGCTCGCCGGCGAGGTGCGGTCGAACCGGACCGGTGCAACCACGCCAATGAACTGAGCTTACCTACTCAGCGGCTAGTCAGAAGCTGCTCTGCCGGGTTCTCCTGGCCGACTGCCCGGATTCAAGATGGTACCGACCATGCGGTCGTGGCCAGATATAGCTCTGCCCCCCAGGGTCACACACGCACGTTCTGCAGTCAGAGGCCATATTTAACCTAGGTTATTGCCCTGTCGTGGTTTTCATTCCTGGTTCCTGAGAGTGCATTTTCTTGTCCTGTTTTTGATATTCCCAGTATTTTGACCTTGGCTATTCCTGATTATTCTGATTTCTGGCTTCCCTGACTTGGCTTGTTAAATGGTATTGTATATTTCTGGCTCCCTTGACCATTCTCTGTTTTTAACGTATTAGTCCGGCCATTCTAAGGACCGGTTTATGTTTTATCATTTTCTGTTCTGTCTGTGTAGATATTACATAGTTCTGCTTGCTGTACCACACTAGCAGTCATGACAAGAATCTTATCGACCATAAACACTAAAACAGTCATACCTCTCAAGCGTCATGTATCTAATGGAGATGGTGTTGGCGGGAAACTCAAAGGTTGCAGTTTTAAGAAAACACATACTCTATGCTAATCTCTCTCTAATTTGTGCTTTCATCTTTCAAGTAAATCCATACCCCCCTAACAGCAGTGTCCAGTGAAGCAGGAAGTCAATGGAGACACTGGGAGAAATGGAGACACAGACACTAGGGACACAGACACTGAGACACTAGGGACACTGAGAGACATCGGGACACTGAGACACTAGGGACACTGACTGGGAGGCATGGAGACACTTGGGGACACTGGGAGACATGGGGACACTGACTGGGAGGCATGGAGACACTTGGGGACACTGGGAGACATGGGGACACAGAGACATGGGGACACTGGCTGGGAGGCATGGGGACACCGTGTCCCATGTGTCTCCATGTCCCAGTGTGTCTCACAGCGTCCCCTAGTGTCTCAGTGTCCCCATGTCTCCCTGCTGCCTTCCCCGTCCTTCACTTACCTGAGCTGTAGGCCATCTCTGCAGGCTGGGAGCTGCTGTCTGTGTAGCTGCTACCCCACGGATCAGTGAGTAGAGAAAGGCAGGGAGGGATATGCTGTAACTTCCTATCACTGCCTCTCTCCACACATAGTGACCCCTACTGGCTGGTGCTGGTATTGCAGAGTAATCTCTGTTTATACTGCATTTGTATTGCCAGTATTACGGCAATACCGGCACGGCCAGGCAGCCTCAAATACTGGCTGTGCCATTCAAATACCAGTCAGGTGGCAAACCTAAGCGTAGTGTAAGAAAAAAAGAAAAAAGAAAAACACAAGCCCGCTGGCACTTCATTCCAATAGAGGGAGGGTCTGTGTTCCTCCCGTGAGCAGGCTGGTCGGAACATTGCTGCATGTTACTATGGCATCACTCCAATACTGTTCTGTGCTCGCAGAAAGACAGGAGAGTCAGCTAAAAGCCAGAGGAGTTGTAGGCTAGAGCGCCCCCCCCCCCTGCTAAAAGGCAACAAGGGAGGGGAACATTAAGATAGATTTTCACATCTCTCCCATCTACACACAGCATAGACCCTATGCACTGATGGGCGGTAAGGAAATTTTACCAGCAACAAAAGAGGGCGGTATGGATTAAAAGGTTGACTACCCCTGCATTAGACGAAGCAGTTTCCTGCATACTGATATGGAGTAACACACAATGTTTTCAATTCTTTATCTGCCACTCACATTGCCGGTCAGATCTCTGGCACTCAAGCGGCTAAGCAATTTGAGTTCCTTTTGATAGGAGGAGGAGTTCAATAGACCATGAGATGAGGTTTCCAAAGAAGGGGTTAAGTCTGGCACTCCACTTGCCCCCAACTGTGTTACATGGAGAGGATTTCTATTAAAATTAACAAAACTGTATTCCTAACACTATAGGTCTCCCTCTTTCCGCAATGTAATGGCCATGCGGGAACTTTGTGTGCATGTGCACAAACATTAACGTTTTCCCATAGGAAAGTATTGAATCAATGCATACTTATGTGGAATTTGAAGATACTGGATGTCTTCATGTAAAGCGCAATGGGTCGAATCTCATTTCACAGATCTAAACTCTGATACTTAGCAGGAAGTGCATCAAGTGGCTGGCTGGAAGAAAGCCGCTAGAGGTATATTGAACGCTGCAACTGCATGCTTTTACTTTGAAGGGTTAAACAGACCAGGGGACTTCAATGAGATGTGTATAGTGTCCCTTTAAACCTTCCTCGTTGGCTTTGAGCAATATTTTGTATTACTAACTGTTCAGATGAACTCTTCACCAGATAGATTTTACATGAACCATTCTGGAGCAGTTACAAGATTACTTTATCTTCCTGTGGCTTTATAGAATCCATATTTGCATTGCATAATTTTATAAAATAAGGATGAGGATCAGGGTGTTAGAGTACCAGGAAACAGAACAAGTAGAACTCCTTGGATGCTGCATGTGAGTGGCCCTCCAGGCTGGAGGTATGTCAACTCAAGGAAAGTTTACATTTATAAGCCAAGTACTAGGCATCTTCATACAACACATTCTAACATAAGAAAGAGCGAGAGATACATTTAGAAAAGAAAATAAACTTTAATATTCTGGGTTTTTGGCACCCTTAATTTTTCTGACAAAATATACAAACTCAGCACAATTTACTGTGATACGTCCGCAGTCGAGAGATATTTCTGTGAAATCAGTGCAAAGAGAAGAAGACCTCATATTCACAGAATTATCCCTCAATTACCATTATAAACACAGCCATAATTACAAGTCCACATTTATGAACCATTGTTTTTATTAATTACGTAGAAAGTTGTGATTGAGCGAGCACAAGGATGTAGAGAAAGATAGTCTGAGCCATGGACGGCTGGGAAGGGTGTGCATTTGTCATGTGAATTGCTTGGATTTGCAAAGAGTGAACCATTTGCAGTTCCATACATGACCATTTGGGGCAGCAGTGAATCTGAACTTTTATAAAGTTGTGTCTGTCTCATCACGTTTCCACGTTGGATTATTTTCCTTTGTATTTCAGAACCAGGCAGTTTAGATGTGGATTGGTCAATGAAACCAGATGGAAGTCTATGTTCCAAATTCTATTTCCTCAAATTCTCTGTAGGCCCCAAATTATTATTTATTTTTAAAATGGGGTCTCTGAAAAGGTGAGGGAGGAAGTAGGGAAGGGCCCAGAGCCTAGTCATTGTAGTGGGATGAAACATTATTTTAGGACATCAATTTGAAGCAGTGGGAGACAATTCTTTAAACCATTTTCTTTCAACAGATCTCAAAGAAAGGCATTAGTTCACAGAGCTTTAAGGAGCCACAAGAGCACCATTCCTACCCCAAGAGACAGGGAGAGCTGGACATGATTCCCACTGTTACATTCGGTTGTATTGCAGCATGAGACAGTGTAGTCAATTTTTAGGATATGATCAGTTTGGATCTTAGCTGTTGCATTGCAGTTTGGATCACATTGCCATTTGGAAAACAGGTAATGGCTACCTGGAGAGAAAAAAAAAAAATGAAAAATATAAATCGTGGATACGAATATTCTACAGATTGTAGTATTTGTAAGACTTTACTTTTACTAGACAGTATGAGCAGAGAAGTGATGCAAAAATGTCACCAATGGAATGTGCCGATTGGTTCCACCATGATTGCCCCACATTTAGTATTTGAGAGCATGACACTATATACACAGCCTCCTATATATCTTGTTGAATCATTAGAGAGATCTGATTTCAACAGACAGAAAACTAGTATTTATCATAATGCACTTTGGTAAACAAAATACCCCCCCTCACTTTTCACCGTGATGCTTGGAACCAATGGATTCCCCTCCCCCCCACCCCCCCCAGCCCAGCAGAAAGCATAGATGGCTTAGAGAATCTATCACACATTTTGACCTAATTTCACTTTGAATCCTCACTTTTTGTATGCTGAGAAAAAAAAAGAAAAAAAACACCACAGTTTGAGTGTAACATGAAGTGACAGATATTGTCCTGTGAGAGGTCTTACCAATGCGATTACATAGTAAGCAGCACTGTCAAACATCATACCTGCATATGTTTTGATGGTGGAGCAGCTTTGAGTGCAGTTTTTAGTAGAGGAACCAGTTACACAAAAGGATCCAAGACTGAACTCACAAATTCGACAGGTCAGAGCAGACGCTGAAATTAGAGAAGTGTAAGCCAAGTTATCCTGGAGACCCGTATTAAACAAAGATCACATTATGTTCTACTCAAACCAGAGAGTTCCTCATATCAAAGACTCACTGAATACAAGTTTGTTACTCTGCTGTTGTGGAGCTCACAGCTATCTCATGCTGGCTATTATCGACAGGGAAGTGTAAAGAACATGGTACGGGTGTAAGAGCACTAGCTAATCACAGCTTAATAAATATATTTCTGACCAATGTCACTCACTAGAACGTTGGACAAAGCCTACAGAAAGATGACGCTTGACTTTAGTTCTTGATAGACATAAAATCCATTATTGCACCAGATAAGTGCCTGTTCATTACAGGTCGGAGCACACACACACAGAAGATCCTTGGGTGGAAGTTTAGAGTCATGGTACCCAATGCTGTCCAAGGAACAGTAGTGGTCCAGGTTTTGTCAGTAGCCCCACTTTAATATTGCTGGGAATTGCAGTTACCATTCTTTGATTGAGTCACATTTGATGAACCCATTGGTCTGTTTGACATTTTCAGGAGGTATTCACCAATGTTTGAATTGCTGGAAATTCAAGAGTAATTTCCTACAAGAACAGAGTGAGGCGAACCCCTACAGATTTTATTTAGTTCGGCTATTTTGGTTCACTGTAAAAAGCCGATAGTTTTCTCTTTAAAGAATAACCCTGCATGTGACAGATAAAGGGCATATTGAAAAATTAAGAAATAAAACAAATTTTAAAAAACAATTAATTTTTACTAGCACTGCCTGATTAACATATGGGGTATTAAAGCTGATGCTCCAATTGCCCCTAGTACAGTTTGACCATATATGAATGAATAGATTTTTGTGATCTGCTAATCTGGAACACACACACCCTCCTGGCCTGGAGGGGTAAACGCCATCCATAACACTGGGTACCAAATCTATAAATGAGTCAGGACTATATCAGATTCCGGAGTCACACAAGGTACAGGATGGATCCCATGTTCTCCATGACCAAGGCTTGTACTGTGCTTTGTCCTGCTTGTGGATTTTAAGTGGTTAAAACTTCCCAATCAGAAATGCATGCGTGGATGGTTTTCTATAGTGCCACTGCCAGGATCGTGTATTCAAACTCAGGATTAGGCCAGACAATTTCCAGGTCTACCTCACTCCAATTCAGCATGGTTCAGGAGCAAGCGACCTCATCAATTTAGCTCCTTTTATTAGCGTTTAGGATATGTAATGGACACCAGGAGCAGGTTCTCACCAAGTCTCATAGTGGGACAAAACAAGCCCGGAAATTAAAGCTCTTCTTATTTGGGACAATACAGGCACAATACCCGTGCTAGGCTGTACAGAGAAGGGTCATGTATATTGCTGGCAGACATGAGGATAACAAGGCACTGACTGGGTGGACTGTGCTGTGCATGTTTCCCCAGGGATATTTCCTCCAAGAGAATTATTGCAAATGGCCATTTCAGTATTATGTTAAAATTACTTAATAGTGTGATCATTTCACAACAACTGTGCTTATTAAAACAACACCACACTGCCTAAATACAACATTAAAAATCACTGTTTTGTAGATATAACCCAAATTTAAAAAAAACATGCATGCCTTTAATTATGTCTCCCCACCCCATACCCATAATGTGGGTATATGTAAAAACATCTTCCAAGAACTGCAGTTCTCATCTGCAGCCTTTGCAAGCCCTCCCCTTCTAACCCCACCCAGACATCCCAAGGCAAGTGCTCTGGGCAATTGCTGCCTCTTGAGTTTAGCTCCACTGAGCTAACCAAACCAGGAAGAAAAAGGACTGGTTATCTGCTTGAAAGGCTAATGACACACACACACACACACTTTGTAATATAGAAAGGACAAAAAACAAAAAACAAAACACAGCTTTATTTTTCTCCAGCTAAAACTTGCATAACCGCCAGTTTATACAATTCTGACTCTATTCCATCTACCCCATATCTCACATCTCCTGAACAGACTATCAAAGCTCTCAGATTCCTCCCCCCCCCCCCCCCACCTTGCATTAAGATTTCATAACTATTAACAGTAGCAGTTTCTGTGACTGGTGATATATGCCTTCTGTTATCTTGTCAAATATTTACTTCCAATGTCAACCTTCAAGGAGCCTTACAGGGCTGCATGGGTACATTAAAGGGACATTAGTCACCTGAACAACTGCAGCTTAATGAGCTTGTTCAGGTGAGAACTATAGCTCCCTGCAGCATTTCTCATGTAAACAGTACTGTAATTTTCTGAGAAAGCTAGGAACGCCTCCAGTTGCAGTTACTCAGAGTGAACCAGAGGGACTTCTGAGTTGATGGAGGCATAATATGCCTCCATCCACTCAGATCTGCTGTCAGCAGAGCAGAGGGCAGCACTGTGCACAGCATCTCCTCCCTCTGAATGCATACAATTAACTTTCCTCATAGAGATTCATTGATTCAATTCATCTCTATGAGGAGATGCTGATTGGCCAGGGCTGTGTTTGAATCATGCTGGCTCTGCCCCTGATCTACCTCCTTGTCAGTTTCAGCCAATCCTATGGGGAAGCACTGTGATTGGATCAGGCTATCACATGTCAGCAGACTGCTTGATTTTCTTGAGTCTAAGAGCATGCAGATTTACAGCCTCTTGGCTTGAATACAGTAAGATATTCAGGGGGGCTAGATGGTGGTGTTAACACTATAGGGTCAGGAATACATGTTTGTGTTCCTGACCCTATAGTGATCCTTTGAAGTCCCGAATTCAGCCGCTACATGAACCCTCTAAGGATAGAGAACTGCTGTATTGGGGCCACACCCTACTACATACATGCCAACATTCAGAACGTCATACACAGTGTCAGCCAGCTGGCACATGATAGTGCCAACCAAGCATGGTTGGCAGCAATGCCAACAGGCAAACTCAGGAGGGAGTAAACTCTGTCAGATGTCCTACAGATAACATACAATAGGCTCATTCCAGTTACAGATTCACCTTGCGGGGTTAGATAGGACACACAGCTGTTTAATACAATCTTTGTTTTGGTTTGCCAATGACAACCGCTGTGCCAGGAATGCCGAGAACTGACATGGCAATTGTACATTTAAAGGGATAATGTCAGGTTTAGTTACTACAGTGAGAATTTAACATTTTAGATCAATATTGCAGAATCGAGAGCAAAAACAGACTTTGAGATTCCCACCCACCCCCACTCTCTAATTTAATTTTAAAAATGAAATTCACATTAAGTTCTCATTTTAGTGATTAGTCCTGTGTCAAGTTATGACCAAGGTAGAACATCTATACACACACGTTAACGAGAATGTGCACAAATACTACAAATTAATTCCAAAGACCTAATCATACCAAACACTCGAAGCAGTATGATCTATAAATTCTACAGCACACTGCAATGGTTAAGGTGCCAGGGTGCCCTATAATCCCTTCCGAAGAGTCAAATGTGTTTGCCAAGTTACCTGCAGTTCGTGTAAGGCACAAAATGTGACTGCACCAGATGTTGATGGTCTACAACTCCCAACATTTTTCAATGCAACATATGGCCAGAGAATAGTGGGAGTTGTGGGACAGTAACATTTGGAGAGGTAGAGTATGAGATTCCTGGTGTAAGAGTTGCCCCTCCCTGCTAATAGCATGAGCAGTGTTCCAAACTTTTTTGGATCAAAGCAAACGTCTGAGAGAGAAATTTCCGTGGCACACCTACTTTTTCCATTAACAGCTTATAAATGTCATGTTTACGTGAAGCCTACCGAAAGGGATATTCAGGTTTATTTCATGGTCAGATAGAAAACAAACAGTTTTAATGCGGATACCCAATAAAAGAATTTTAAGCGCTGCACTCGGTTTATTGGAGCCCTGAAGGCAATGGGTTTGTGGCACACTTTAAGGAGGTTTGAAAAAGCTACTGATCTAGAGATGAATTCTCTGCAGAATGCCAGAAGGAGCAGTTACCATAGAAACCAACAGAATGTTAAATTTAGCTGCTTTGCCATGCCAGTCTCCAAACGCAAGTCCAGTTCTAAAAGAAAGCAACATGATCCCAGCCAGGCAACAAGCAGGATTAAAATCACTAAAAAGTTAATTGCGGAGAATTCAAAATTAAGGCTTATATTAGTTGATTTGGATACATTCTCCAAGTTAGTTATGTGTGCAACTTGTAAGACTCAGAATTTCTCAAAAAAATTCTAACTTTATCTAATAACCCGGCATGTGCCAGTATAGCGTCTGCACAGACTAGATTGTGAAAATAGCAACAACAAAAAATAAAACAGTTAAGACCAGGAGGGTACAACATCCAGAGAGGACGTTTACTTTTTTAGAAGTTAAACATACCCACGGCTAGAATCCCTACAGCAAACGCCAGTGATATAATCAGCTTCATGGTTCTTCAATTAAAAATATGCTCTGGAGAGAAAGAAAAACAAAATACAGAGTTAAGAAAAATGAAAATATTCTGAACAAACTATGTAGAAAGGAAAAAAACTCCAATAATCCAGAAATATCTACAACATATACAGAGTTTCCAGAATAGTACACAGAGTGTGAAAGCCAAGAAAAAGAGGTTTGAGTCCAGGAAGATCTACGGCAGCAGGAATTACCATGGGGAGAGATTTACAGCTCCCAAAAATAACTGCACTGGATCAGTTACAACATTAAAACAAATATATGCTGGTTACAATGAAAAGGGAGAAATTAAGGGGTGAGGTATGTCGTTACCCAGCAAAGTCCAATGTAATTTATATCCTGACTGCTGGCTGTCTGTTACACACTGAGACTCTGTAACCCCCTCTATATACGTTACAAAGAGGGTGGGTGCTACAGGGGAGTGGCTCAGAATGATACTACCACCAGAACACACCTGGATTCTCTGACTGTGTGTTGAACTGTGAAGTAAGCATTAGGTGTGTGCACGTACCTGGCCAGGTAAAAAAATAAAGGGTTATTTAACCCCCAAAAATTAAAAATAAAAAGCGGTGACTCACCAGTCACCTGATGACACATTCTACTTGTTGTTTGGTAGTTATCCCGAGTGCTGCCGCCTTAATAGTTTATTGTTATTTCCAGCCAGTTCTCATGGAAACATCTGTTTGTATTTACATCTTTTTCACATTTCTCCACCTGTGCTCAAGCATGGATTTTAGGTTATTGTAACCTACTAGATAGAAAAGCTTGAATTGGGAGCTCAGGTATTGCAGTGATGGCTGATTCTTATTTTTGCTCTGTTAATGGAGAGTCCGCATGTGGGCTTGATGGTCACAGTGAGAATCTCAGTGATTCCAAATCTATGGACAGAGTGTCTGGGTCTCCAGGTGCATAAATGGTTTCTCGGGGGCTTTGGGAAATGGGAATGGGAGAGATTTTTTGACCCCAAGGGCTATGGACAGATGCCCAAGGAGACTAATTCATTAAAGTGAGATTTCAAGGTGAATTGCACATTTTAGGCAAGAGTACGCAGACTGAAAGCATAGCAGAATAAGAGAATGTTTCCAATTCAGCTGTTTTAACCTTAAATGGACATTCCACTTTCCAAAATACAATTTAAAAAAATAATTGTTTCGTAGATATACCCCCAATGAAAACAGGCATGGGTTTAATTATACATTTCTTCACTGGGAGTATATCTAAAAACAGCTTTCAAAAATCACAGATCTCTTGTCTGGTGCCTTTGCAAGTCCTCCCCTTCTAACCCCGCCCAGACCTTCTGTGGCCGTCCAATCACAGCCTTCCCAATGCAGCTGAATGAATTTTTGCAAGGCAGGTGCTCTGGGTTATTGCTGCCTCTTGAGTTTAGCTCCACTAAAATTTATTTGGAATTCTCACTTTAGTAAGTAATCCTGTCAAGGATTAATGACAAGTTAATGAATCTGGGTAGGTGCAAAGATGTTAGGGTCTGTGGGTAGGTGCACATATGATAGAGTTTCTATGTAGGAATACAGATTCATAGGGTCTCTGTTTAGGTGCACAGATTCGTGGGGTCTCTGTGTAGGTGCACAGATTCATTGGGTCTCTGTGTTGGAGCACAGATTCATGGGGTCTCTGTGTTGGTGCACAGATTCATTGGGTCTCTGTGTTGGTGCACAGATTCATGGGGTCTCTGTGTTGGTGCACAGATTCATTGGGTCTCTGTGTTGGTGCACAGATTCATGGGGTCTCTGTGTAGGTGCACAGATTCATGTGGTCTCTTTGTAAGTGCACAGATTCATGGGGTCTCTGTGTAGGTGCACAGATTTGTGGGGTCTTTGTGTAGGTGCACAGATTCACAGGGTCTATGTGTAGGTGCACAGATTCATGGGGTCTCAGAAATGTTGGTGCCCCTAACACAGCTCAGGGTCCCCAGGGCCCCATCTCCAAGCCCGCCCCCAAATCCCGCCCACAGCAATACACACACACAAACACACGCAATGATACAAAAGGACACATATACACACACACAAAGATACACACATACTGACACACACAAATACATACTATCAGACATACATACTGAAACAGACATACACACATATAGGCATACATACTGACACACACATACTGAAACAGACACAACACATACACAGTGACACACAGACACATACTAACATACATAAATAAACACACACACATGCATAAGGACATACAGACACCAGGGTCGGATTAACATCCGACCCTGGTCCCAGGCTCAGGCCCATGGAATAGGCCTATTTAAAATAAATATATATATATATATATATATATATAAACTTTTTTTTTTTACACACTATTCTTAGGTTTGTCACCTGACTGGTATTTTAAGGCACAGCCGGTATTTGAGGCAATACAAATGCAAATATTTTTCTTAGTATAAACGGAGATTACTCTGCAATACCAGCACCGGCCAGTAGGGATCACTGTGTATGGAGAGAGGCAGGGATAGGAAGTTACAGCATCTCCCTGCCTCTCTCTACTCACTGATCCGCGGGGGAGCAGCTACACAGCACAGAAAGTCCAGACAGCAGCTCCCAGCCTGCAGAGACAGACTACAGCTCAGGTATGTGAAGGATGGGGGGAAAGGCAGCAGGGAGACATGGGGACACTGAGACACTAGGGGACACATGGGGGACACTGAGACACTGGGAGATGTGGGGACACTGAGACACTTGGGGTCACTGTGAGACAAGGGGACGCTGAGACACATGGGGATGCTGTGAGACATAGGGGGACACATTGGGACACAGAGACACTAGGGACACAGTGTCCCCATGTCTCTCAGTGTCCCCATATCTCCCAGTGTCCCCATGTCTCCCTGTGTCCCCAAATGTCTGTGTCCCCATGTCTCCCAGTGTCCACATGTCTCCCAGCCAGTGTCTCAGTGTCCCCATGTCTCACAGTGTCCCTATGTCTCCCAGCCAGTGTCCCTCGTGTCTCAGTGTCCCCATGTCTCCCAGTATCTGTGTCCCCATGTCTCTGTGTCCCTAGTGTCCCCATGTCTCCCAGTGTCCCCAAATGTCTCAGTATTCCCATGTCTCCCAGAGTCCCAATGTGTCTGTGTCCCCATGCCTCACAGACAGTGTCTCATAGAGTATGTGTTTTCTTATAGCTGCATCCTTTGAGTTTCCCTCCAAAACCAACTCCATGAGATACATGACGCTTGAGAGGTATTACTGTTCTAGTATTTTTGGTCGATAAGATTCTGTAATTAGGCCCCATCAAAATTGTCAGCACCAGGCCCACTGGGCTCTTAATTTGGCCCTGACAGACACACACACATAAATACTGACACACATACATACTGACACACAGCTCATTTTTCAGGGTTTCTGTGTAGGTGCACAGATTCATGGGGTCTCTGTGTAGGTGCATAGATTCATGGGGTCTCTGTGTAGGTGCACAGATTCATGGGGTCTCTGTGTAGGTGCACAGATTCATGGGGTCTCTGTGTCGGTGCATAGATTCATGGGGTTTCTGTGTAGCTGCACAGATTCATGGGGTCTCTGTGTAGCTGCACAGATTTACGGGGGCCCCGGTAAAGGTGCATAGATTCTCAGGGTCTCCTATTGTGCGAGCACAATGTTAGGGTCCACAGCCAGACTTTCACTGTGTTCCTGCAGATTCTCTGCATCTCAGAAAGCTTCATTCCTCCTAACATTTCAAATGGACAAAGAGGGACATTTTTATTTTAGGGGTGTGAGTAAGGGTGTGGCCAGGGATGGGGCTCTTCTGAGACATTTTAGTTGACCTACTGATAAGTTATACCTACAATGTAACAGAACAAGAACAATGTATGTTATTTACGCATGATTTCTAAACACATTTATTCTGATATACTTGGTTCTGCGGTCTTGCCTTGCGTTCTGTCCAGTTACCTGCTCTCATACAAGTCTCTTCTCCTCATTATCTGGCTTTAAAACCATAGCTCAGGCTCATACTGTGGTCAGAATATTGGGAATAATTATTGTCTCGTGTAATTTCTGAATCCTGAATCTACCCTTGGTTTGTTTACCCACAGATGCTGGCACTGACTGGTGACGTCCAAACATGCAGACTGACTGTATCTTGGTAACTCTGTTACAGTCTGATTCTCAATGTCTTTTTTTCTGTCTCTTCGGGATATTCTTGGCTAAGCCCCAGCCACACTAAGGAGCTGTACGTCACCTGTTGGGTTCTGTGATATTAGGAGCATTCAAACAACATAAGTAAATAGGTCATTTATTTTTAGAATGACACACAATTAGCACACGTTTTGTGGCTTATTTCCCCTTCAGTAATTAACACTGGTTATACCCATTCACTGGGTTCTGCCCATAATTAAAGGATCTGTATGGGCACTATAACAGCGCCATTAAAATGAAGTTGTTATGGTGCCCAGAGGTCCCTGGTGCTTTCTTACCCGAAGGGGTTAAACTGTTCTTGAACGGTTTAACCCAAAAGGCTGCTTTCCAGGACGGATCTTCCTTTTGAGTTTCGCGCAGGGAGCCGCCAGACAGGGTCGCCGCTGATTGACAAGAGTGGTCAGCTGACACTCTAAGCCAATCCGTATCTACCAATTCATAAAAAAGATATCAAAGAAAAAAAGGTGGTTTGCCCGTAACTTCCATCCTTCACAATAGGTTTGAAGAAATTATTTTTTATATCTTTGTGCACAGACAAAACTAATGAAACATTATTGTAAAAATTGAATTTCTTTCACCTTTTATCTTCCCTAACGTGATATAATATTTATATCAAAGTGGTGCCCATCTGGGCGTAGCCCAAATCTGGATAATCTTTTGGCTTTTACCTCTGCAGAGCAGATGAGTCATTCTGTTATCGAGTCCCAGTTCTGTTATCGTGCTTAGCAAATACACTGACGTGAACTGCCTAACTTTAATAATAAATAATAATGTAATTATCCTTTTTTAACTGTTTTTGGGTCATATAGTAAGGCTGGCTAGTCTATTCCGATGCTCTTACAGGATTTTTCACTTAAGCCAGAATTTAAAGTGAATTTAAAGTGAATTTCAAATCTAAGGCCACAATAGTCAAACTGGAAACATTCTCTAAATCCGGTTCAACTACTTTGGTCTTAATCTGAAATTTGCTTTGAATTTTCACTTTAGTAGATAACCCAATTAGTTTCTGTCATGGCGTGTGTCTTTGTACACTGGAATATATAACAGCTGTCAAACAAGATTTCACAGCAGGCGTGGAATTGTACAAAATATAAAATTTCGGCAAATAGTATGCCAAAGAGAAAAACGCAAGCAAAAGTAAATGATCTGGTAAAAAGTCTCCAACTCAGCTATAGTAGTTAAGACCATTTGGCCTACATTTATATTCTAATTTCTTACATCTCAGTGTTTAGTAAACATTTTCAGTCAGATTTGTACAAAACATTAAAAAAAAATAGAGAGAAAGGAAATGTAGTTTGTTTATTTGGAAACACTATCGGGG